TCTAAATCTTCATCTCAGTCTACAAAGGGACTTCATGGAAAAAAATGAAAGCACCACACTCGGGCTTCGATTTTCTTCGTGACAAAATGATTCAACTTTTTCATGAACTTTTTGAAGTCCTCTCATATAGCTAAAAAATGAACAATCTGCAATTATTAATACCAGCAATAACAAAGATTAGGACCTGAGAATATCCAGGCAATATAATTAGCTTTATGCGCACCTCCATCCCGCACAACTCCAGTAGATAGCTCTCCTGTTTTGAGATCGCTTCAGGAAAGATTTATTCCTCTTTTCTTCAGGAACCCAGTCCATGGTCTCTAAAAACCTACTTGACATCTCTTCTGAGACCTCTTCTACTGTGGATATAATAGCTTTTGGAAATGTGGACAGGGCTAATAAGTCACTCCTCCTTCTGTTCGATCTTTGTGCTAACGGGCTGGAGATGCAGACAAAGAAGCCGCATAAATGTCTAACATAACCGCTCTGGAAACCGAAGGGGGGAGAGGAGAGGCACTCCAGTTCCGCTACTTTCCTCAGCCCCCTTCACGAGCCGCATACCTAGCTCTCATCAGCGAAGACAAAGACATTCACTTTCAGGCAGGCTGAGATGCACTCTCCTAAATAACTAGCCTCTGCTCTCAGTTCTTAAAAGTTTACTAGGAAAAAAAAAAATGTTCCCGGGCAACCGCCAGCCTTGAACCCCAGGAAGGGCTCACAGCAGGAAAACAAACCCAGCCCCTCGGTGCCAGCCACAAAGGCAGGGCACTGGCACACGGACCACGTCCACGAGTCCAGGCTCAGCCTCAGACTCTCACCACACCACACACACACACACACACACACACACACACACACACGTATGCGATCACGTGCAAGGGTCACATGGACTGGCCCACTCGGGACCACACTCACAAAGTCACACCGACAAGACAGCCGCGCACGCTACCCACACACCCACGTACAGTCCCACCCCAGCTTCGCGGGCCTCGCCCGCCGCTCACCTGCCGTGGTCGCCCCCACGTCCCTCTCCCTCCTCCGCGAGGCGGCTCGCTGCT